CCAAACAGCCAGAGTTTGATGTCTGTCTCTTATACACATCTAGATGTGTATAAGAGACAGTTTTTTCCCCTAAGCCAACATTGACCAATCATAAAGCCTCGCGCGAGTCGAAAGCGTCGGTTCATGCACATGCGTATTCACATTTCTATCGGAGTTTTCGCTTCATCGAAATCGGTAGCTCGAACTGTTCCTACTTTTTGCGAAGCGGAAAACGTGCGCAACCAATCACAGCTCAGGAACCGAACCGACTCTTTCGATTCGCGCGAATAAATTCTCCTAGTGGAAACAGGCTTCAAGCTTTTAAACAGCTATTTGTTGTGTTTATAAGAGCGTTGTGATTGGTCAATGAATTAGGCAATTTAGTAGCAAAAAAAAAAAAAAAAAAAAAGATAAAACAATGGTGTAGAATTAAACTTACTCCAAAGGGTACCTGCATTGCAATCTTAGGTAATTACCCGCCGAATCGCATGTCGGTGGGTAGGTTTGAAAATCGTAGAATACGATACGAAACTCCTTCAGGCTAATGGCATGACGAATCTCGGCAAGCTCTTGCAAACACCTATGATTAACAAACACTAACTTTTTTCGTTAGGCTATATTTCATTTTTACTCGTAATAAATTAATTTATATCAAAATGACTGATACATAGGCCAAAATAATTTAATTACAATTCCAATAATGATACTATAATACGGTACTGTACCTTGTATGAAAGCTTTCAGGTGACTCAACTGTTAAAACAACCAAAAGAATGTTATACTGATGAATAAACTAGGTAAAATATTATAAAATAATATACAGAAACTTTTATAAAATTATATTCATATAATCATAATATAGGCCTATAATTAAAACCAAAAGTTATGTAAATTTTTAAAAACACAATTACTCTTTGTTGCTTAAAATTCCGAAAAGACGGCAATTCATTGATAGGTTTAGGCCTATTTATTCATTTTTTCTTCTTCCTGACCATTGGTTTCGAGTGCAACATGACTAATGTGCACGTTAAGAAAAGTAGAGCACTATTCGGAAAAGAATAAGGGATTTCCTCTTGGTGTACTACTGCCCAATCAGCACCAAAGGACCCCCTCTTTAAATACGTCTTCGGGCTTTCGTGAGTTATCCCTGGTATTCACACCGAGTAAATCCAATCCAAAAAAGGGCTGGGCTAAGCGAAACGGACTGTTGTCTCATTACAAATATCGGTTGAGGGTTAGTATGAATGTATGAACCTTTCTTTTATATTGAAACACCTGTCAGATCGGAAAATTGTGCTAGTTTTATTCGACCTTTGGAAATTAAGATGCACAGGATCGGTTAACTTTTAAGCATGCAATGACCGTTTGGATGTATAGCAAAAAATACATAAAACCACCCTATTGTTGGTCTATTAATATATGTAACGAAAAATAAGATAAAGTGGAGTTGAATAGCTTGGTGGTTAAGATGCTCGCCTTCCAATCCAATGATTCTGGGTTTAAATCCTGTCAGATTCCAGGATTGTTTTTACGATAAGACAACCCACTCCATAAGCATATATACAGAATCTTGTTTGGCAAGTGAATGGATTTCCACCTATCTAATACTAGGAGAGTGAAGTCGCTACCGATAGTCCTTGGACATGTGCATAAAAGAATAAAATAAAAATTAAAATAGATTAATATAAAACAACAATATTTACAGTGTGAAAGTACTTACGGCAATAAGGTGGTTCCAGTGCGTTTGTTTTGCCAGTGATCTTATCAACACAAATACACCTGTAGGAAAGATATACCGGAAGTGGAAGTAATCCTCCTGTACTTTCACGGGCGTATGCGCCAAGGCATAAACAATATGTAGGAAATGAATTTGTATAATTCATTATTTTCGCTAACATATGACCTTTGACATGTGCATTGATAATGGATGAATAACACAATAGGCCCACTAAATGTATGCGTTCTTGGCAATACTCGATCGACAACCTGCGCCAAAAAACCAAAGGGTCATTTATGCATTCTTTACCTTGATAGACTGAGGTCTTGACCCCATCTTGAACATTGTAACGGTCGGAAGGAATTATCATCGTCGCATTGAACTTCTATGCCAGCCAATGAAAATACATCGCTTTGTTCCAAACAGCCAGAGTTTGATGTATTGAGTCTGCAGTGAATAAATCAATAAATACAAGCAAAATCAACAAAAAATAAAAATTATATATACTTTCTATTTGCTAAATGGTGGTTTTATCTGGATTTAGATGATGTGGTCTAGTGGTTATGTCACCGAGTTAGTTATCTGGAAGTCGTGGGTTCGATTCCCACCTGAATTACTTGCGATTTTTTTTCGCAAGTGATTGGGAACGTACTGGGTATTCAGCACGACAACAGGTCGGGTAGGGCAAAACATCACTGCTATGGATTTAGACGGTTAGGCCTATGCAATATACCATTTTCCACAGATATTGAAGGCGGCCTTTTATAAGACGGCATACTTATACGGTACAGAATAATTATATATTTATAACGGTTGATGAGCTGATGCAAAAACAATCTTTAATTACCGTAGGCCTACATCTATTGTTGGTTCAGGTGGTTCAGGCGTGCTGAAAACTGAAAAATGAATCAGAAATAAGACAAGGGTTGATTGCTTGACCGATTAATTTATGAATTGATTTATTGATTGACTATATCTGGTTGGTTGATGAAATAGTTGTCTGGTTGGTTGGTTGGTTGGTTGGTTTGTTGATTGATTGATTGCGTATTGATTGGTTAGTTGGTTGGTTTATTGATTGATTGATTGATTGATTGATTGATTGAGCGACTGATTCTCGACCAATTGATTGGCTGCCTGACCGATTAATTGATTAATTTATTGATGGTAGGTTGGTCGACTGATCTACAATATTATGATGTTTTTGCCAATCTTCAGTATTTAAATTCAAACACAGCACTATATCACACGCAGCAGAACACTGTTTCAAAAGTCTACAGGGTATACTTATATAAACAACCATTTGCTGTTATTTAATTAATTTGGTGACATCTGCACGTAGCAGCGCATAGTAATGTGTATTTTAATCGTGGTTGCAACAAAAGTCAAGCTTCGGTAGGCCTAAAGTATACTTATTTCAAAATTTTTATTAAAAATATAACGTACCTTCTTTTTTAATCAATTTAACATCTTGTACAAACCAAAATTGAAGCAAAAGTATTCCGTTGTCAGATGGACCTGTAAACGTAACTTTAGCCATGTTTGCAGAAGACACAAAACTTCCTTTCACGTTAGCGTCATTATCATCGCAAATGACTATAGCTGTCGTTTCGTCACCCGTGGGAGACACATCTGTAATGGTCAGTTGTGGTATACATTGGTCATCACTTGGTTGTTTTGGTAGTAGACCGATATGACTGACAGCCAACATAACGCGTTGTCCTTCCTCACCCCGGAACTCATAAGCGCAAGAGACATCGTCGCCATCGTGAAAGTACTCGTATACAAACCCAAATTCCTTTTCCTGGACGTTATAACTCCTTTGGCATACTAATCCCGTTACTGCATCTGAACCCTCTATTTGTGAGCAACTGCTGATCCAAATAATATCAATTAGATTCTATAATTGACACACCGTTTTGGTGATGTCGACCTAATAATGAGTTGATTACATTACACGTTCGATAGACTTACTTCTATAACCAGTTACTACAATAATAAACTCGTGTAATTAACATAGAATTAGTCTTTGCATGTTTGGCTGTTCATTAAAATAAAAAATAAAAAAATGCACAAAAATGGTCTGCATTTTCACACTTTTAATAAGCCAATTCGTGTTTGAACTGTATTCCCGTATCAATCGACATAAACCTATGCTGTGTGTATGTTTGTTAATGTATTATTGACCTTGATATGGGCATGCGTAGTTCAAGCTACGAATTAGCTTTAATTTAAATACCAGCGTTGCGTGCAAATTAAAATTAATATAACAACCTAAAAAAAAAACACAAAAAACCAAAAAAAAACATGCCAAGACATTTATACGAAACATAAGCCTGATTTCCATAAAAGTGTTACATTTCCACTATACCCTTTTCCCTGCAATCGTTGCACTGCATAGCTCATCCCGATTCAACCGAATAGCATCGCCGAAAGACTCGGCGACAGCGTATAGCGATATTATTAAAGTAGAAACGAAACCAGGAATCACTGTATTATGTTAATTACAAACAAGCTATAATTTACGGGTGAAAAGTATCTAGGAAATTGCTATAATATATAAAGTGTCAGTCAAAGTTATTTTTTCCCGAATGCCGTTTGTCTCAGAAAGGCAGCGGATACAATTGCTTTAGTTATGTATCCACTGTGTGGTAATATATGTTAATGGTATCACTCTGTGCTCATCTTCAAAAAGTTTTTTTTTTTTTTGGGGGGGGGGGTCTACTTTTTCTCATATGTTAAACAACATCGTTCATCGTTCATTGTTATAATTTAAAAAATCACTATCAGTGTGAATTAATAACCGATTATAGTAAAATGGATAGGTACCGTATACTATTATCTTTAAACATTATGTTGGTCATTTATTCACATTATTCAAATATACACTGAACCTTGAGTACTATTCGGTGTGAGTAAAATTCTGATCCAACTTCAATTAGCGTTAGTTATCTTCTTACAATTGGTGATGACGGCAACTTAACCATGAAATTCTTGAGTTAAAGGCCTACGCTCGAATCGATCCGACTATACTAATACTAGGCATTCAGCTTTGTTTTGTAGGTCAACTCCGCTAAATTGGTGTAATTTTGTTTAAGTTTATTTGGTAATATTGGTACCGGTACTTACCCGACAAACATCAGCACGGCAGTTATTAAACCTGGAGACATAGTAGCACGATAGTCAGGACACCAAACGCTACAAACAAGTGCACCGTCTTTTTGAAACTACAGTATTTATACGAGATTTTCAGTCAGAGTTATTGTCTTCTCTGGTTTGTTTCGGTTACAGTAATTTGAAACAAAGATGTTGACTTGACTGATTACAGGCTTTCTTCATTGTAACGGAAATTGTAGCGGAAGTTCTATATAATGGGATTAGGCCAATTTAGATGGGTACAGGTAAATACAACATTTGGACCATGAGTTGCAAGTTTTATAGGTGTAGACCCTTGCCTTTATGTTGTTCCTGTCAATTATTTAATATTCATCTACACGCTACGTTACTTGATTCATGTCTTCTTCACAGGCTTCCAGTTAGACTGGGCAATGACGCTTATTAATGAGCATTTTCTGCTATATTCTGTTAAAAGATATAGCCCTTGACTATTTAGAAAATTTTGACACAAACGTAAGCACTTCAATTCAGGTTGTTTATAAGTAACGCACACGCAAACACTTTAATGCTATCGTGGTTTAAGAAAAGAAAAAAAAAAAACTCAAAACGGAATTGGAATCAATGATCCGCTTTTATTTCCGTTCAATTGCTCTTGCAACTAAGCTACGAGGTTTCGCATTTCCTCGGATTTCCTACAGTATTAGAAGTTATCGTCGAGATAAATAAAATCGTATAATATCAATATAGTTAGTATCAAAGAGTATAGAACTCCAAGACGTCCGACTGCCCTTATTTGTATGCAGGCAATGGAACTTTAAAAGCCGGGGTTGGGGGGGGGGTGCGCTTGTCGAGGAGAGCTAGCCTCCGTCATGGAGAAAAACCAAAATTCGTCGGGGAGAAATAAAATGTATTTTCTACATATTATTAGACTCTAAAATCCATTAAATACGCATTTGAAACTCTTAAATTGTCATATTTTTTCGGGGGCTTCACCCCCTGGAACACTTTTGAGCGATTTTGAGCAACGCCCGAACACGCCCCCCTTTGTTTCGTCAGGGACGTCGGACCCCTTGTCGGGCAAATCCTGCCACCACCCCTGCTTACATTCTCTTGAAGGACACGCCACTTCGTGGCATTACTTTTTGAGATAGGATGTGAGATAGGAGTTCCGACGAAACTCCCGACAGTATGTAGTAGCCCCTCTTTAGCAATACATTGTCCTAGAGATGAATATTGTTTGTTTTTTTTAATGTTCTGTCCAGATTATAAAAATTTCTTTGACAAAAAACTGTTGATTGTCAATATATACCGTAGTCATGATGTGCCTATATATGATCATGATTTGATGTCACCATGACCATATTTGGGCATAACACAACTAATGATCTACGACACCAACAATAAATAAAAAAATAAATAAATACAGGTTCTGTTCAAAATTATTTAATTGAGTTTCGATTTACATGTGATGAAATACTATACAATACGAGGACTGAATTAAGAAAATGTTTCGAAAATTTAACAAAAACTAAAAACTAATATCATCAATCGACCAAATATTTAGAACGTTGATTTCGCTAAAATCACATTTATGTTGGAATAATTTTAATCGTTCCGTTAGATTATATAATGTATTCGCATTGGTACCGACTACCTAAATGAATGGTAATGCGGATTAATATAGACCTATCTGTAGTTAGGGTCTGGTAAGAATCGGCGAATACACGGAAAATAGCAAACACACTTAGTATGAAGCTGTCATCTCATCATTCAAATCATCATTTTTAAAGGCTATTAAGTAAGCTAAGATCTTCAGAAATGATTTAATTATTTAAACTTGTTTACATTTGTATGTTCACACCCGAATGTTAAATATTAAGCTCATTCGTATGTGTTCAGACATAAGGCAAAAAGATGTCTGTCTTTAGGTGTTCACATTAAGAATTTCGCCTGCCATCTGCAGTGTTCAAACTAAAACGTGTAGCATGACGCCTGCCGACCTGCGACTTGTGTACGCGCGAAATTGACGGGACGTGCTGTACACACTACACGAGTAATATCCAGCATCAAGGCCTCTGACGTTCTGGATTTCCAGTGAAAAGTCTGTGAGTTGGTCTCCTATGATGCTAAACCTGTCATCCACAATAGTCCACACGTCCATCGAAATAGACCTGACGCTCCATTGTATGTACGTATCAGGCGTCTTTCCTGAAACCCTACATGGTAAGATGGCGGTATCACCGGTGCGAACCGATACTTCAAGTGCGTTAAGAGTATCATTAGGCGTCTCAATAGAAGGACCAGATGTCACTAAAATGAAATATCAAATTTATCAATAGCACGAGAAAAGTTTTGTGAGGCCAGTGGCGTATCTAGAAGTCTTGA